GGTCGTTTGGCGGGTGGACGAACGGGTCCTCGAGGATGCGCGCCTATAGAAAAAAGAAAACACATAGAAAAAGAAAATAGTGGACCAACGGGTCCTCGAGGATGCGCGCCGTGTTCCACATGCCCGTGTGCGCGAGGACGGAGAAGAAGGCGACCGCGGCCGGGAGGAAGGCCCAGCTCTGCAGCAGCTGCGTCATGCGGTCCGCGTCGGCGCCGTCGGCGAGGCTCCACCTCGCCACGTGCCTAAGGGAAGGTAAGGTAAACTTCTCCACACACACGAGGTGGTGGGGCAAGGGGCCAGGCTACCCCTCGCGACTCCACGTCTAGACGGCAAAAGCCCCACGGCATTAGGAGTGCAAGGCCCAGTGCGCGTGGGTGGTGTGTGTGTGTGTGTGTGTGTGTGTGTGTGTGTGTGTGTGTGCGTGTGTGGCTCATGGCGCCACGTGCCTTGCTGAGATGAGCGGGAACACCGACGCAAAGACGCAGAGCAGGAAGGCGATCACTTGGGCGTACGGCCAAGGGAAGGGGATGTCCTCGATCTTGGCCGCCTACCGAGAGACCCAAGGATACCCCCAAGGACACCCAAGGATACCCCCAAGGACACCCAAAGATGCCCCGAGATGCCCCGGTGATTGCCCGAGATTGCCCGAGATTGCCCGAGATTGCCCGAGAGGCCGGGGGCTCCTGCCGGAAGCCGAGCACGCCGTCGGACAGGTCTGCGAAGGTGCGAGCGAGGACGGGCGGGTCGACCCAGAGGCCTAAGAGGTAAGGTAAGGTACGCGAGGTGATCTCCGCGTCTAACGACAGGAGCCCCACGGCATTCAAAGTGCAAGGCCCAGTGCGCGTGGGTGGTGTGTGTGTGTGTGTGTGTGTGTGTGTGTGTGTGTGTGTGTGCGTGCGCCTCCCCTGGCGCGGCGCTGGTTGAGGTGCGAGAGGAGGCGCGTGAGGGTGAGGGCGACGCGGTCGTCTGAGATGCGGAGCAGGTAGAGCTCGTGCTGCCTGTCCACACGCCTCGCTGTGAAGAGACGCCGTTCACAGCCGAGGTGCGGAGCAGGTCGAGCTCTCGTGCTGCCCGAAGCCTCCGAGGACCGGCAGAGAGGTGGAGGAGGGGCGCGGCGACGAGAGGCTCCTCCTGGGCCGCGCGCGTGGCGGAGGCCCCCGCGGGGACGCGCCCGCAGGCAGCGACGAAGGGAAGGGCAGCGTCTCACCCACGCCGGAGGCGGGCGAGCGGCACGGAACAAAGGGCGCGTCAGAGCCGGTGGCGGCCGCGCGCGCGGCGCC